TAGCCAGGATGGTCTCGATCTCCTGACCTCGTGATCCGCCCGTCTCGGCCTCCCAAAGTGCTGGGATTACAGGCTTGAGCCACCGCACCTGGCTGACTTTTGCCATTTTCTTACCGAAGTAGATGGTTTTTACATTCCTAGCTGTATAAATATAACAAGAAATGACGCTTACTGCTCTGCCTATTTTATTTAGTAAAACTAAGGATTTCAAACAAGGTTCATTTAATGCCAGAATTTCTCAATCTTGATGTTGAGGCTGGTAGCATTTTTCTGAAGTTACATTTCTGTTTCAGTATTGAAGAATGTCGCAATATAATCATGCAGTTTGGTGTTCGGGAGGTCACAGCTGCCCAGGTTGCAAGGGTTTTGGGAATGATGGCTCGAACTCATTCAGGATTAACAGATGGCATTCCATTACAGGTGTGTTGAATTCAGCTATTTTACCAAGTGAGTTAATGTCCTGTCCTCTTTATTTTTTTTTATTAAATTACAATATGATTGATTGCTGTGTCGACCAGAAGTGAACATATGGAGTAGTTGGGTTTGTTTAATTCAAGTTTTACTTCTACAGAGTATTTCTGCTCCAGGCAGTGGGATCTGGAGTGATGGGAAAGATAAAAGTGATGGAGCACAGGCACACACGTGGAATGTAGAAGTCTTGATTGATGTTCTTAAAGAACTGGTGAGTATATGTGATGATGGTTTTTGATTTGTGGTATTTGAATGATACAGTCCAAAGAAAGCAAATTTTTAAGAATTTTCCACCTTTGTTAACTCAAAAAGTAATAAAGTGTCCAAGTTAATTGTGTACTGGAGACAGTACATAATCAAATTTAAATTTTTTCATTAGGGTTGTTACCTTGTAACTTGGGGTGCTACTGCTAAATTACTTTTGTCTATGGTGAATGAGAATAACGAAAATCATTTATCTTGCCGCTTCTACTTTGGTTGTAAACTGAATGAAAAATAAACAAAGTACCTCTGTTGAAATATTGAAGGGCTTAAATAAGACATAAAGGAATTGAACTGTATTTATTTTTGCTTTTGCTATGTTGCCCATATTGGACTTTAACTCCTGGGCTCTAGTTAGTGATCCTCCCACCTTTGGGAGCAAAGGGTTGGGATTACAAGCGTGAGCCATTGTGCCTGGCCTAGAATGGAACTTTTGTTTTTGTTTTCTTTTTTAGATGAAGTCTCACTCTGTTGGCCAGGCTGAAGTGCAGTGGCATTATCATGGCTCACTGCATCCTCTGCCTCCTGGGTTCAAGCATTTCTCTTGCCTCAGCCTCCCAAGTAGCTGGGTCTACAGGCATGTGCCACCATGCTTGGCTACTTTTTTTTTTTTTGTATTTTTAGTAGAGACAGGGTTTCATTATGTTGGCCAGGCTGGTCTCAAACTCCTGACCTCAGGCAATCCGCCCTCCTTCCAAAGTGCTGTGATTATAGGCATAAGCCACTGCACGTGACCCTAGAATGGAACTTTTAGATATTAAGAGGTAGTGTGTGTAATAAGCCAGGTGTCGTGGCTCACTCCTGTAATCCCAGCACTTTGGAGGCCGAGGCAGGTGGATCACATGAGGCCAAGAGTTTGATACCATCCTGGCCAGCATGGCGAAAACTTGTCTCTACTAAAATTAAAAAAAATTACCTGGGCATGTTGGTGTACTTCTGTAATCCCAGCTACTTTGGAGGCTGAGGCATGAGAATCTATCGAACCCAGGAGGCAGAAGTTGCAGTGAGCTGAGATCATGCCACTGCAGTCCGACCTGAGTGACAGAGTGAGACTCTGTTTCAAAAAAGAAAAAAAAGAATGGGTTTCTTAAAATTCACATTTAAAATTTTGTAAGTAGAACATCTAAATTGAATTTCAGATTTAATATGGCCTTTTGGACAATGTATCAAAATATACACACATTCATTACATTTTAAACTGCTTTGGTCTTTTTTAGAATCCGAGTTTGAATTTCAAGGAAGTAACTTATGAACTGGACCATCCTGGATTTCAAATTCGTGACAGTAAAGGACTTCATAATGTGGTTTATGGCATTCAGAGGGGTTTGGGTATGGAAGTGTTCCCAGTAGACCTCATATATAGACCTTGGAAACATGCTGAAGGCCAGGTGAGTGAGTGAGTGGTATTTAGCTATAGAAGGGGGGATAAAACATGACTTATTCTATATGTAGTGCCATCTACCCATTGATTGAAATATTCTTGTAAAGTAGAATTTGTTATACATAGCACAGAAAAGCAAGGACTGTCATAAGTATTGAGGGAATATTATCATAGTTTTAGTACTAGTCAGACTCCTTTAAGGTGTAACTGTCAAGGTGTTTTCCCAATATTTTAATGATGTGTTCGTTTCCAAGGCAACATTAAGTTTCCCTAATTGGCTCAAAAAAGTCTTTTAACAGTTATGATTGAGAATCCACACAGGGTTTCATTGTGCACTTTTCATGTGTCTGAATTATGTGTGGTTTTCAAAGGGCAAGTAATTAAGAATTTTTTATTTTTTTTTGAGACAGTCTCGCTCTGTCGCCCAGGCTGGAGTGCAGTGGTACAATCTCACTACAAGCTCACTGCAAGCTCCGCCTCCCGGGTTCACGCCGTTCTCCTGCGTCAGCCTCTCGAGTAGCTGGGACTACAGGCGCCCGCCACCACGCCTAATTTTTTTTTTTTTTTTTTGTATTTTTAGTAGAGACAGGGTTTTACCATGTTAGCCAGGATGGTCTCGATCTCCTGACCTCGTGATCCGCCTGCCTCGGCCTCCCAAAGTGCTGGGATTACAGGCATGAGCCACCATGCCTGGCCATAATTAAGATTTTAAAAGGGAAATTGCCATGCTAATAACCTTAAGATTGACAATAGCCTAATGAAAACATTTCAGATTTTATAGCATTCACAGTCATTTATGGTGGTAAGCATTTTCTTTCATTGCAGCTCTCCTTCATTCAACATTCCCTTATAAATCCAGAGATCTTCTGTTTTGCTGACTATCCCTGTCATACTGTTGCCACTGATATTCTGAAAGCACCACCAGAGGATGACAATCGAGAAATTGCCACGTGGTAAACACTTTGATTCAGCTTTCATTTAAAGGATTACTTCTTCTTTTGTGAAATATAAAGTTAATAGTAAGCCAAATACATAGTTAACAGGTTTAAATGAAGCAGTAGTTTTAGTGACCCTACTTATTTTAAGTATTTATAGAGAGGATTGTTGGATAACTTATTTTTCAGTCCCTATCGTTAGTTATATCTTGTAGGGTCTGTCCTTAGGTGTTCTTTTAAAAGCATCAAATCTGAAAGTATCAAATGTTGGAAAGAGGTTTGTACTTCCTCCTTTCTCCCTTAATGTTGAGATTTCTTCTCTGTAGAGCTTAAAAAAAAAGGCTTTTCTTGATTTGTAAGTTGCTCAAGGTGCCCAACCTGTCAAATATAATAGTTTTCTTATT